CGTTTTCTATACGGGCCCTATAGTAATCTAATATTGCCCGTTATTTCCTACCTATAATAATAACTAAACGCGTTACTACCTACCCTATTTGTAAAGCTATTAAGATAGCCCTTCTACACCTATATTAACTTTCTCCTAGTGTTAAACTCCTACTAACGTTATTTTAACGTTAATCAAAGTCCTTAAACCCCTCCTCTATATTAGCCCTAATCACGGTTGGCGTTACCCCGCTTGGGTGGTGACCTGTCAAGTTCGCTTCATAGCCAGTGATCGTAATAGACGCCTATACAAAACGGATGTTAGGGAGTTATCGAAAAAGAACATGCACGGCCTATCTTGGCATCGACCGTTGAAACAACCCCGTCGTCATAGACTTGGCGCCGCCAAGCGACGCGGCTGTGCCCCAGACTCACCGCATGCCGCTATCTCGGCGGCAACCCACGACCGTCTTCACCCATCTTGACACCCTCTCCACTATCGACACCCTCTGTTCTCCACTCCAGGAAACAGATAACTGCCGCCGATCAACATGAGGATTTCCGCACTCCTGCTCTCCGCTGTATGCGCCATCTCCGTCTCCGCATCCTGGGTCCCGGGCCAGGTTGCCATCAGCGAGGACTTCAAGGTACCGGGCGACAACCCGTTGCACTTCTGCGGGAATCCCAAGGATGATCTTCTGGAAATCGAGAAAGTCGATCTGAGCCCGAACCCCCCTCAACCGTATGCTATCCCGACCGCAACCTGACAACCCCCCTCTAACCCTCTCCACAGTGGACACACCCTTAGCATCAAGGCATCCGGGGACTTCAAGGAGAAGATCGAGGAAGGAGCAAAGGTCCACATTCAGGTCAAGTATGGCCTAATCACCCTCATCAACCAAGAGTCGGACCTGTGCGATGCGCTTTCGAACGTGGATCTGAAGTGCCCGCTGGACAAGGGCGAGATGACCTTGACAAAGGACGTGGATCTTCCGAAGCAGATCCCTCCGGTACGGTATTCCTCATGACACGTTGGACTCTGCTGAACAATCACAGGGCAAGTACACCGTGTTGGCCGACGTCTTCACCAAGGACGGGGACAAGATCACCTGCTTGACCGCGACCGTCGTATTCTCCCGGTAAACACCTCAGGCCGAATCCAGGACGGTAGCGGAATGAACATATCTGAGACGCGCGTTTAGATCACTTCAAGTCGGGAAGCGGAAGTTTCAGCTGTCGGGCCCAGGTGTCTCAATCTTGGGGAACCGGTATCAGCCGGGTCACAATGAGCTCTAATGATGGATGTTGATTCTTGGGACATACACAAGAGCTAGGACCTGTTTATTTACATGCACCATTCTGGCGAGTACGATACCATAGCGTTAATATGTTACGATGTCCCACGCCCAACCACGTTCCTCGGGTTTTGCACGGCGCTTGGATGTATGGATATCATTATATAATGCCGTGATGTACATTGTTGGCCACAAGCCGTACGGGTATATGGCCGCTCTCTACTCTCCAAAAAGCCTCCTGACGCGCTTCAACACGCTGTCCTTTTCTGGGTCATACGGGTGGTCTTTCGAGGGTATCTCCAATATCGTGGGGAACGCAGCAGTGTGGTTCTCGACGCGGTGTCTTATACGCTCGGCAATCTGCGCCAGTCAGCTTGGGTGCGGCAGGATGTGTAATGCCTCGTACATGTTGATTTATGAGTATGATGGCGATGTCCTTGCGCTCAACTGTATACCGCTCGAAGGCGGCTTCGATGGTACTGTTGTCGACTTTGCTGTCCACGACTAGGAAGTTCTTCTGCGAGTCTGGAGGAGGGGTAACGTGCTGGAGAATTCAATTAGCTTGATATGTGTCAAGGAGGTTGAGGCTCCTACGCCGACGCCCGCCAGGAGCAGTCCCGTTACGGTGTCCTTGACTGTAAGCCTATGCTGGTGCGTATGTGGTAAGAATGAATACCTCGTCTCCGATGACGGCGAGGAACTGGCGGTCCTTCTGCTGGCCGGTGGTAGCAGCCATTGTATGTACTGCGTTCGTAAATGAGGAACGGTCAACACTCGGAGCAAGCTGTAGACTACGGGGTGGAGCTTAAGCTGGGGGCCATCTCCGCCATCGTCATGGGCTTGGCGCCCGAGGTTCAGCCGGTCCTCTTGTCTTTGTTTACTCAGGCACCACAGAAGTTTGCTTTCGTACACCAACCAAACCACTTCACAATGGACTAAACTCCAACACTTCCGACAACTCTTGTCGCGTCCGCAGCTTGACCGTTGTCCCCAAACTCTCTCAATCCACTGCGCGCCGCTCTGCGCGACTTACAAATATGCCTCCTGTTATCCGAAAAGCTCCGCTCACGGAGAGAATTAAGAACTACCTGGACCCTGTCGAATGGTTCATGTGGGCGTCAGAAGAGCTAAACAGCAGTGACTGGGACGAATTCGCGAGCAACTATGCAACCTCCATTGGTTTCGGCGCCAATCTTGTCTACATCTTTGCTCAGGCAAATACAGGAAGGCGGAACACTGTCGGAGATGATGTCTTTGGTGAACCCAGGAGTAACAGCAGCGGCTGGCTGAGATGGTTCGTAAGTCAAGCAGATCTAAATTATGGCTTCCGCAGCAATAGCTGACACTCCCAGTTGAATCTGGTCGTCCTCATCCTCTCCGGCCTCTCGTTCCTCAACGCCTTCTACACTTTCTACAAGAAAAGACACTACAGACTCTTCGAACAGCCCATCGAGACCAGCCCCTCGACACCGTCTGCTCACCGCGTCCGCGTCGACTCCTCGCCCATGACGGCCACCCCCCTTCGCATTTTACAAAACATCATAGGGGACTCCGCAGAATCCCGAGCGTATCCGGACGCTGGCCGTGATGTGTGGGAGATTGCCCTATGGGATCCCAATCCTCTTTGCTTGCGGCTATTCTGCCTTTTTAGCCCGTTGCACGTCATCCTCTACTGGGCGAATCTGCCCGTCGCACCGCTCGAGTCACGGCCAAGCGTAAAAGTGGTGTCCACGATAGCTCTTGCGATCCTCCTCTCGCTGCAGCTGAACTATGTCAGGAAGAGCTTCGTGCAGCAGATAAAGGACTCGGCTATTATCCACCGCGAAGTCCTCAACGAGTACGACACCAAGTTCGTGCATCCCTCCCTCCAAAGACCCTATCGGGACGTCGGTATTCAAACCATCACCAAGAAGAGCAAATATCGGGACTCTGGTGTTGGACCAGCCGGGAGTGATCTTGCGTCTGAGGTTGACACGTATACCCCTACAACCTTCATCAAGCGTGGCTTCCAAACCCATCCAAATGCCGCCTATGCTTCACAATACGACCCTGACAATCTGAGCTCTCAGCCCACCCCGCGGGCAAGCAGATCGACCACTCCGACTCCATCGTTTCGGCCGCTTCCCGCCGCCCGCTATACAAGTGCGTCGACAGCCACGACCGGAACAGACTTCTCATCTCCGATCCGCCCATCGAATACCCCGAATCCATTCCGACAGCCTCGTACACAACTCCGGAGCTCTCATGTTGGGTCCGGTGATGGCGGTAGTCTCGGAGTCTTTTCCCATGCGGCTTCGCCCTTGCGGAAGTCGGCGAGCGCAAACTACCTACGAGAGGACAGGGATGGTGACAGTTTAGGTAGCATGGGCGAGCGCCGCGCTCCGAGCCCTACAAAACGGGAGGGCAGCCCACTTAAGAGAATGAGCACCCCAGCAGGCTTCAATCCGGATGCTCGAACTTCGGGATTGTCGAATCGCTTCAATAAAGGATACTCTGGTTTGGGCGTTGGGCGGCGCGAGAGTGGGGGCTTTTGAAGCCAACCGGTATGATACATACCCAGAGTTGGATGATCCAAAACGAGGCTCCTGGGTTCTCCGTTTCCTTTTCCTTTACTGGCATCACTTGCATACAGGTTCCGGGAGTTGAGGACTCATATACCCAGCATTCATGCATATTTCATCTACTGTTCATATAGGTACTTTGGTCGTTTTTCGCACATCAGAAAGAGCTTCCATTCTTTTTCCTCGTCGCCTGACCAGACAAGTTGACGCCGGAGATCGTGCACCCGAAGATGTATAAGAAACTTCTCTGGCAAAAGTCGTTGGGCTTAAGACCGCCTTGTTCGACCATAACTGGAGGATACTAGGCTTGTAAAAGACTAGATGGGTATTTTGAGTGTGAAGAAAAAAGGTGAAGGCGATCGAGGATTGCGCATCGCGAGAGTGAGGAATCATATGTTGCAGACGAATCCGCGCCTTATCTTGTATACACTTCGCCTAACGCGACTACTGGATCCAGCACGGCAACTGGCGTTAGCACTGCTTCTAGCAAGACTAGGTACGAAGAAGTGCCTATGTTTACTGGTGCGACAGCTGCGCTTAAGGGTGAGGCTGTGCTGAGTGCGGTTATCGTTGGTTTGGTTGTACTGGTGATGTAGGAGAGTTTAAGAGTTTGGAAGCAGTGACAACAATCAAGGAGTAGTACATCATACGCAACAGGGCAAATATCTGAAAACTCTTGACGCTGCCCGGTTATCTATAGTATCTACAATCTCAGTTGGGGGAGTCGTTCAGGAGCACCCTACGAACCACTCTAGAGCACCCTACCTAGACTCAAGCACCCTAAGTGGACGCAACTTGTAGGAGGCTGGTAAAACAGACTAAAAGTTTCTTTTCCCCTCTACCTAGTATCAGACCCTGTGCTCTACGATATGAATACCCTAGTAGTATAAAAGACTATTTTAGATTCAAAAGCGCGTATGGTGGAAGCACAGCAAGGTAAGAGCGATAGGATGCTCGAAAGCTGCTGCAAACGGTAGTTAGGTATAGAGAGCCGTATAGGGTGCGGCTGAATAGCGCATGGGTGCTGTTCAAGAGTTCGCCTTAGAGGGACGGTAATACATGCGCGGCATACGAACCATCGTCTTTCAACATGGTTCGATGCATACTCTTGTTATTTTGTATTACATAATGTTTTACATCGTGCAAGTTCTCATCCAATCAGTTATGGGCATGTAGCGCAGTGGTAGCGCGTCCGCTTTGCATAGGGGGTCGACCACTTGTAAAAATGCGGAAGGTCTAGGGTTCGATCCCCTACTTGTCCATTTTTTTTTGCATTTGTTTGCTTTTTCATCGTCCTCTTTAGCATTTGCATGTTCTTTTTGCATGTTCTTTTTGCATGTTCTTTTTGCATGTTCTTTTTGCATGTTCT